ATATAAATTAGATGACACTTTTGCATTTCTATTTTATGTATGATTTGTGATGAAAACCTCTTTTTGCCAAGGGAGAGTTTTCCTTTGATGGACATATGAAAGGCATTTGAATGATTTAAAATGTGAAAGTTATTTTTTGCTTTTAAAAAAATATATGGTTAAAAAAAGGCTCAAATTGTATAAGAGTATACAATAGGAGATGAGTTTCCCTCCTCTCACAGATCCCTAGGTCCTTCCATAGAGTTTCTTAAATGGGCATTAAATGGTTGAACCCTCTTTATTACCTATTTTTCAATTTAAAATTCCGTAGAGAGAGGTCGTCTGGTAATGTTTCAATTTCCTAGAGTATAATACTGTGATACTTTAGCATCTGGGCCTTTTACCTCAATCTCCAAATATTTGGGGATTTTTAAAATATGTTATTGTTGATTTCTTAGTTTCATTATGAGAACATACTTTGTCGATTACCATCTTTTTACATTTATTAAGACTTGTTTTTATGGCCCAGCATATAATCTAACTTGGTGAATATTCATGTGCATTTTAAAAGAATTTGTAATTTTCAGTTGTTGAGTGTAGTTTTCTATAAATGTCCATTAGATCAATTAGGCTGCTAGTGTTATTCAAATCTTTGGTATCCTTACTGATTTCTTAAATGTGAAATGTGTACTTTTTCTTTTACTTGCTGAGAGACAGAGTTAAAATCCTCGATTAAGATTGTAGATTTGTCGTCTTTTACCTTTACCTTCGACAATTTTTGCTTCATGTATCTTAAAACTCCATTATTAGATTTAGGAATGTTATATCTTCCTGATGAATTAATTCTTATATTATTATGGCATGATCATTTTTATCTCTGGTAGTATTCTTTGATTTGAAATCTGTTTTGTCTGAGATATTGATATAGACATATCAACTTTTTGGTCATTTCCTTTCAAACTATCTGTGTCTTCATGTTTAAAGACAGTCCCTTGCAAATCAGATAAAGTTGTATCTTGCTTTTTTTTTATCCAGTTTGACAATTTCTTTTAATTGGGATGTTTAATCCTATTACATTTAGTGTAATTATTAGTATAGTTGTCTTCTGGCTTTTGTTGTTTCTGGTGAGAAGTCAGCCAACATTCTTGTTTCTTCATGTGGAATGTGTCATTTTTCTTTGTTTTTAACATGTTCTCTTTCTATTTGATTTTCAGCAATTTGAGTATGATTTGCCTGTGTATGATTTGTATTTTTTCTGCTTGGGTTCATTGAGCTTTTTGGATCTGTATGCTACTATTTTTGATCAAATGTGGAAAATTTTTTTTTTCCTTTTTGTCTTTTTTTTTACTGACCCGTAACGGGATCGCAACCCTCGGTGTCGTGCCCGTACTGGGGACCGGCAATGGGATTGCAACCCTCGGTGTTGCTTCCACACCACGCTCAGCCAGTGAGCGCGAACCGGTCTCTACATGGGATCCGAACCCTTGGCGGGAGTGCCGCCGTGCTCCCAAGCGGCGCACTCTCCAGTGCGCCACCGGGCCGGCCCCAAATGTGGAAAAGTTTTTGTCTGATATTTTGTCAAGTATTTTTCTTCCTGCCACATTCTCTCTTTCTCCTTCTGGGACTTCAATTATACCTATGTTATCGAGGTTATATTCATTTTTCCCCCATTTTTTTTTTGTTTGTTCTTTAGTGTGGATGATTTCTCATGACCTGTTGTCTTTGCCCAGTGAGGTTGCTATAACAGAGCACCATAAACTGGGCAGCTTTTAAACAACTAAATTCTATTTTTTATAATTTTGGAGGCTGGGAAGTCCAAGATCAGGGTCCTGGCTGATTTGGTATCTGGTGAGGACTTTCTTTCTGTTTCATAGATGGCATCTTTTAGCTATGTCCTCCCATGGTGGAAGGGCAAGGCAACTCTCTGAGACCACCTTTATAAGTGCATTAATCTTGTTAATCATATCTCAAAGGGTTCCCCATCCCACTTCAAATACCATCATATTAGGGATTAGGTTTCGACATGTCAATTTTGTGGCATACAAACATTCAGCTCTTCTATACCTCATTCTTAAAAATATTTTGTGCAGGATTTATCATTCTCATCATTAGGAAGGTTAGCATGATAGAGAGTAATTTATCATTATTGGAAGCTGGTGCCTTTTTATTTCAAACAAATAATTCCATAAAACTGAAACTGTTCTGTTGATTTAAAAAGTTATATTCATGTTTTCCTTTCCTATGAAATTACACTAAAATAAACAAAACTTTGTATAGATTTACCATTAATTGCTACAGAATTGGAAAATATTCCTCCCCAAAGTGACTGGAAATGTGCATATGCATATTTGTAAACAGCCCTATTTTTAAAAAAATTTCTTTCATTGTGGCCATGAATTAATTTATGGCCACAGGCTGGTGCAGGGAATGGAACCCTAGACCTGTTTTATTTTTAACAGACACTATATTGCATTTGACAGGTGACAGGCACTGGTCTAAGCGTTTTATATATATATTAACTCATTTATTCATCACATCAACCCAGTGAAGTAGGTATGATGATTAACCCCATTTTCAAGATAAAGAAACTAAAGCACAGAGAGATTAAGCTAGGAAGTGGTGGAGCCAGGATTTAAACCCAGGCATTCTGGCATTATTTGAGTTTGTATTCTTAACCACTATGCTCTGCTACCTCTCCCAGTCTATGCTGCCTGTACTAATTATCCTCTGGGTATGTACCTGTCAATATTTGTGAATTTTTCAAGTTTTTCAATAATTTCCGTCTGCATATAAACCACTTAAAGAACACAAAGCACATACTCCCTGTTGTGCCAAATACCCAGAAAAGACTCAAATACAACTTCTCTTATAAATCTTGCCTATAAATCCCAGGCAGTATTAATCATTTTTTCTTCAGTACTTTCATAGCACAGTATTTACATTTCTAATGAGTGGTTATTTATTTATTTTTACCTTGTATTGCACCTAGTAGTTAATAGGCTTGACCCTCCCACTAGGTTGTAAGATCATTGAGGGTGGAGACTATGCCTTCATCATTTTTGTAGACATTCTTCTCCATCCTAGCATCTAGCCCACATTGAATATAATGTATCATTTTATTCCAAAACTGTGCCAGATGAATAATCTTTGTGAATCCATATATGTATACATCTTGTTTGTAATAGCAATATCTTATATTTATGTTTACTTTCAACTTTCTAAAGTCCCTTTATATCTACTTTATCTTTATGGGAAAATGACATAAGCTTTTATTTATTCATTTACTAATTACTTTCTGAGCACCTACTATGTGCCAGGTACTGTTATAGTTGTTTACGATTAAAAAATTTATATTCGTATTCACCTTTCTCATGAAATTACCCTCAGATAAGCAAAACACGTAGCAATGAACAAAAGTTTCTCCTTTCATGAACATTACATTTTTGCGAGAAGGTAAAGATAATCAACCAAAAGAAATAATGTGCTAGGTGGCAGTAAGTATTATGAAGAAAAATAACATAAAGAGGTAGGATATGATACAGAATACTACTTCAGATGATGTGGTCTGGAAGGGTTCTATGAGGAAGAGACATTTGAGTAGAGACCTGAATGAAGTTAAGGAACAAATTTTTAAAATATCTGAGGTTTAGAAGAGTTCTAGGCAGAGGGAATAGCAAAGACAAAGGCCTTTAAGTTGGGAAAAACAGCAAGGAGGCCACACTAGAAGAGTGGGAGAAATGAGATGAAAAGGTAACAGTGTAAGTTTGTGTGGGAGGCAGATCGTAGAGGGCCTTGTAAGATATGCCAAGGACTTTGGGTTTTATTCTAAGTTTGATGGAAATCATTGGAACTTTTGGGCAGAGGAGTGACATCTGAATTATGTTTAAAAGGTTCAATCTGAATGCTGTGTAGAGAATAGGTTACATGGGGAGAAAGAGTAGAATCAAAGAGACCAATTATGAGGCTATTGAAACAATCCAGGCCAGAGATTTAGCTGCTTAAACTAGGGTGGTAGCAGTGGAAGTGGTAAGAAGTGTTTAGATTCTGGGTATGGTTGAAGTTACAATCAAGAGCCAAGAGAACTTGCTGAGGAATTTTTTTATAGGGTATGAGAAAAAGGGAGGAGTTGGAAATTATTCCCACATTTTGGCTTGAGCAACATGGTGAATATTAGCACCATTTACTGAAATGGGAAACTGGTAGAAGGAACAGGTTGAAACAGAGTATATATCACTGCCTTTATATATATGAGGAAACTGAGATGTACATGAAAAGTTTTGATAAGCTCTGGGATAGAATCCTGGTTGCCTTAATGCTAGCCTCAGATTTCTTCTAAACAAGTGTCTCAGTTTTTTTGTTATTAATTTTACTTATATCATGATAGCTCATGTTCATTTTAAAATACTTTCAAAAGAAGAGCCTGATCAGGGATGTTTTAAGAATCCTTGAAGTTTTTTATATTTTCTAGGATGGTAATGGTCAAAGAGTTTAGCACCTTGTAGACATTGAGTAATTGTTTGCTAGATTAAATTGAAAGAAAATTTAATTTGTCTTCAAACTTAACATTCTCATAAGGGAATGTATCTGTGCTGTAGTTAAGATAATTGTATAAACTGAAAGTTGTGATTTGTCTTTCAGAAAGCAAAAGTTAAGACTAGGAGTCATAAGATTCGGGTTTGGACCCCAGGTCTGCCCCTTACTCTCTGTAACTATTAGCAAATCTACCTACCTTTCTGTCTTAATTTTCCCATCTGTGAAATGGGAATAATACCTACTCATCTCATGTAATTATTGTAAAGATGAAATAAGATCATGTATGCTTAATAGGCTTATCACACAACTAGTGCATCAAACGTACGATACAATTGTATGAAGTCTGAATCTTAATAAAGCCACCATGAGATGTTCACAAAAAATCTGTAGTAAAGTTTGTGGAAAAATTCTGTACATAAACACATGTTGCCTTTTTCAAAATTTTTATATATATTAACATATATGTTATAAAGAATATATGACTGAAGATAAATGTTTACTTTACAGGTATTGGTTTGCCTTGAAAAAAGGTTACTATGTAGCTTTCAAGTATAGCAGCAAAACTAATAACTTCATGGAAGAACAAATTGATCCACATAAAGAAGTTATAGATAGAGTAACTGATTTGAGCATGCTCAGGCTATTTGAGACCTACCTGGAAGTTTGCCCACAACTTGTTCTTCAGCTCTACGTCCTTCTGGAGTATGGTCAAGTGAATTTCTATCAGTGTTAAGTCTTTCCTAACACACTATGTTAGATGGTTGCCACTGAGATCTATGTGAACTCTTTGGCAGGTTTTACATTTTTAAATTCTTTTTCTTTTAAAAATTATTTATTTTTTTGAAAAGGAAGTACAGTAACATGGTTCAGATACCAAAAAGAATATCTTCTTCCTGTTTCTTCTCATTCCTTCTTTTGTCTGCCCAGAAAGGAAAATTCTGTAGTCAATTATTTGATGGTGCTTTGAGAGAATTTTTAAAAATCATATATTCTTTTATTTCTTTAACACAAATGGTAATAAAATAAAAACTCTGCTTTTTGCATTTAATGATATATCTTGGAGATCTATCCATATCACTACAGAAAGAGCTCATCATTCATTTTTATTATGTGCATAGCATGGCAAATTATGGATATACCATATTTACTTAACAAGCCTCCCATTTATGTTAATTTAGGTTGTTTCTAATATTTTACATTGAAAAAAATGCTCCAATGAATAATCATATGCATATGTTATTTTACATGTGTGAAATATATCCGTAGTGTAAATTCCCAGAATTGGAATCACCAAGTAATAGTGGAAATGCTACAAAACTAATGAAAGTTTTGCAAGTTAGCCAATAGGTTTGCTGTTTTATAGCAGATTTCTTCATTAGGGTAAAATGTTCATTTTTTCAAAGGAATTTTTTTTTCTTGGTAGCTAGCCAGTAAGGGGATCTGAACACTTTGGCCTTGTTTGTTATAATGCTGCTCTCCAACTGAGCTAACTGGCCAGCCATATTTCCTTCTTTTTAAAACATTGTTTAATAGATATTTCATTTGAGATGCTTAAAAAACCATTTATTTGTGAAATAATGGTCCCAATTTTCATTAATGACTAAGGTTTCATGTAGACTTGGATTCATCTCAGTATGGGGCAGATTGTCATCTTCCCTGGAGTTCACTGTCCTAGACTCACTGGTGAGATCAGTTCATCCCTCAGAACAGACTCCCTATTCCCAATTTCCCATAAACTTCTAGACTGTAACCCTTTCTAATATTTTTGCCTTTACTTTGTTAATAAGACACAAAAATGAACCTATTGTGTATGAGATTTCTTTTTCCTTGTGATGCAAAGAATTCATTTGTTGGGACTTAAAGTTATGTATCATATAGTTGCTGCAGTTAGAAATTCAACAATTAGAGCTTACAGCCTATATTATGGTAGAGCTGCTGATGATTCCAAGTGATTCATAGCATCTAGACCAGCTATAGGATCCAGTGACAACTATCGTTATGTTATGGTTCTGTTTTCATCCTTATAATTTCTCCTTGAAGTGAGAAGTTGTGGTAAGTTAGTTAAAAATAGCAAAAATGAGAAATAATCCAATTGTCTACCAGTAGAGAAATTAGTAAGTAAATTATTGTAGTCTGTTAGTATGGAACTTTACGTAGCCACAAGAAAGAGTGTTTACAAAGAACTTTTAATGACAGTTTATTTTATTTATAAAATGAAATTTAAGCAAAAAGCAGTTTATAAAACTTTATATCAGCACATTTTTAAGGATACAAAGAAATAATTATATAGAAAAATGTCTGGAAGAAAATGTGCCAAAATATTGTGTGGTTGCTTCTTGGTAGTGGGATTACAAATAATTTTTTTTTTTTATGGGTCAGATGACTCCGATACTTTATTTTTTTTTTATTTATTTTTTATTTTTTTAATTTTTATTTTGTCAATATACAATGTATATG